CATGTCATCTGCAAACAAAGACACTTTAATTCTTCCTTTCTAATCTTATACATTTTATTTCTTTTCCTTGCCTTAAGGCACTGGTGAAAACCTGGGTAGAATTTGGAACAGAATTGCTGACAGTGAAAAACTCTGTCCTATTCCAACCTCAGGGTGAAAGTATCAAATGTTTATTTCACCATTGAGTACGATTTAGTTGCAGGTTTATCGTTGTTTTGTTTCTTTGATTTGGGGGAGTTGGCGATAGCCTTTATCAGATTAAGAAAATTTCCTTTTATTCCTACTTTGCTAAGCATTTTTTCATGAGTAGCTGTGGAATTTTATCAAATGCTTCCTCTGCATAAACTGAGATGATCATTTTTTTCTTTATTGATGAGATTGATTATATATTTAGCTTTTAAATGTAAAATTGACATTACATTTTTGGAATACATTTTACTTTGCCATGATATATTGTCCCTTTACTCCATTTCATATATAAATATACACTGGCGTTAGGATTTTCCCCTTTTTTATAATGCCCTTGCCAAGGTATGGTTTCTGTTTGGCTGACCTCATAAAGCAATTTCAGAAGTATCTCCCTTTTTCTGTTCCCTCAATGGATTCATTCAATATTAGTGTGTTTCTTCCTCAAATATTTGGAAAAATTCACCAGTGAAGCTATTAGGGTCTGGAGTTTTCTTTGTGAAATGTTTTTAAATTGTGAATTAAATCGATTTAATGAACATAGACTATTCAGATTTTCTATTTCTTCTTACGTCAAGTTTGGTAAAATAGATTCTTCAAGGAATATGTCCAATTCATATAAATCTTCACATTTATCGACGTTGAAGTTTTCCCAACATCTTGTTATCCCGTTAGCACCTGTGGGTCTGAACGGTCGTTCCTGGTGCTGGTGACTCGAGTTTTGTTCTCTTTTCTGAACTCTCCTCCTCCTTCCCTCCTCCTCTCTCTGTCCAGTCCTGCATGGGGTTATCTCCCTTTTTCTTACAACATTTAGTGTTATTCCATTAGTGGTTAAACAGAACTTTTAAAATGTATCCTTAAATTACTACATTGTATCATAAATTAGTAATTTCGCTACATACCCCCAATACGAGAACCTTATAACAGCAACGTTACCCCCTTTCTTCTCTTACTGTCTTGTATTTCACCTTTACACGGTATAAACCCCAAAAGAAATGGTTTTTAATGTTCCTTTGAGCAGTCGTAGTCACTTGTATTTATTCATATCTTGCCCTTTTGTGCTCTCGTCTGGAATCTTCCCAGACGGAAACTCCTTTAGAATTGTTTGCAGTGCATGTCCACCGACAAAGGATTCTCTCAACTTCCGTTTGTTTAAGAATATCTTTCTTTTAAATA